TGCTGAACCAGCAGAGCGCTATTCTGACACAGGTTTGTAATGCTTCTGGGACCCAGCTGGCTCCTCATGCTTGGATTGCATTGTGCTGTGCAGTCACACACATAAAGCTACCTTTTACTACACTCTATGCATCATGTAAATATATTACCCAACCAAGCTTAGACATGACTTTGTCACTTCATTGCAGCGTCTTTGTCACGTTCAGTTCTCCTGTACTTAATTCACATGCTTTTAAAACAAAGACTGCCTGTTCAACCAGTTCTTGCAATATAAGAAACAATCTGGACTGCAACTCTTTCTGAAGCTGCACATCCTCTTTTGAATGGCAACTCTAAGACAAGGATCTTATTCTTTTTGTCAAACACACACAAGTGCTTTTAAAAATGACATGGTCTTTGTATCAGTTGCAGGGCTAACAAAGGAATTACAGGGACAAATAACAGCTTCCAGGATCAAACTTGGCAGAGAAGTTCATAAGAGATTAAATGTGATTTAGTGTCACATTGTAAGCCCTGGTGTGGAGAAAATGGAAACTACATTGCACTGGTAATAAGAAACAAGAAAGATGAAGCATCTAATATCTTGATGAAGATGAAGCATTTCTTCTTTTTTCCTGTTAACCGACAATTCTTTATCCAAGGAAAATGTTTCTTCACTGATTGCCCCTACAGTATTTTAATCAGGTAAAAATAGAAATAAAAGCACAAGGTAGTTTTATCTTCTTGTGGGGCTCCAGGAGAATCTTTGGTCTACATGACATACATACAACCACAGCTTCATTGGATAGCACAAGAGTGGTCAGACTGGGTCAGAGCAAAGATCTATCCAGCTCAGAGTCCTGTCTCCCACAGTGATCAAAAGTGGATTCATGAGAAGATTACAAAACTCTCCAGAACAAGTATATGCTGATATTTTCCACAGATATTCTCATGGCCTCCAATATTTTGTAGCGCAGACATTTCCTCAGCCAGAGGTGATTGCTAAATGTTTAATAACCCTTGGTAGATTCGTCTTCCACGAGCCTGTGCGGTATCCCTCCGAGTCCTGTGAACTTTTACCACCTACCGCATCCCGCAGCAAGAAATCCCATGGCCTAATTACAAGCCATGTGCAAGAATCACTTTTTTGTTGTTGTTGTTCAGAGCCAGCTACCTGCTGTTCTCCTGGGATGCCCCTTACACTGGAAAAGACCATGAGCAGACATAGACGCTCCTTGTTTATCCTCTGCATTCGACTGACAATTTTAAATTATGAAATAATTTAGGTTGGAAAAGACCTTTAAGATCATCGAGTCCAACCATTAACCTAGCACTGCCAAGTCCACCACTAAACCACATCCCTAAGGGCCACATCTACACGTCTTCTAAATACCTCCAGGGATGGTGACTCAACCACTTTCATGGGCAGCCTGTTCCGGGTGGTGCCGCCACCCCTCCCTGGGCCAGCCTGTTCCAGTGCTTGACAACTCTTTCGGTGAAGAAATTGTTCCTAATATCCAATCTAAACCTCCCCTGGCACAACTTGAGGGCGAGGTCCTCTTGTCCTTTCACTTGTTACTTGGAAGTAGAGACCCACACCCACCTGGCTACAACCTCCTTTCAGGTAGTTGTAGAGAGTGATAAGATCTCCCCTCAACCTCCTTTTTCCAGGCTAAACAACCCCAGTTCCCTCAGCCATTCCTCACAGGACTTGTGCTCTAGAGCCTTCACCACCTTTGTTGCCCTTCTTTGGACATGCTCCAGCACCTCAATGTCTTTCTTGTGGTGACGGGCCCAAAACTGAACACAGTCCTTGAGGTGTGGCCTCACCAGTGCCAAGTACAGGGGGATGATCGCTTCCCTCGTCCTGATGGCCACACTATTGCTGATACAAGCCAGGATGCCATTGGCCTCCTTGGCCACCTTGGCTAGCTGTTCACCAATACACCCAGGTCCTTTTCCACCAGGCAGCTTTCCAGCCACTCTTCCCCAAGCCTGTAGCATTGCATGGGATTGTTGTGATCCAAGTGCGGGACTTGGCACTGAGCCTTGTTGAATGTCATACAATTGGTCTTGACCCATCAATCCAGCCTGTCCAGACCCCTCTGTAGAGCCTTCTGACCCATCAAGCAGATCAACACTCCCGCCCAAATGGATGTCATCTGCAAACTGACTGCAGATGCACTTGATCCCCTCACGTCCAGATCATTGATAAAGATATTAAACAGAACTGGGCCCAGTACTGAGCCCTGGGGAACACCACTTGTGACCAGCCATCAATTGGATGTAACCCCATTCACCACAACTCTTTGGGCCTGACCATCCAGCCAGTTTTTTACTCAGCGAAGCATACACCCGTCCAGGCCATGAGCAGCCAATTTTCCCAGGAGAATACGGTGCGAAAGGGTGTCAAAGGCTTCACTAAAGTCCAGGTAGACAACATCCACAGCCTTTCCCTCATCCACTAAGCAGGTTACCTTGTCATAGAAGGAGATCAGGTAGTCAAGCAGGACCCGCCTTTTGTAAACCCATGCTGACTGGGCCTGATCACCTGGTTGCCCTGTATATGCCATGTGATGGCACTCACGATAATCTGCTCCATAACCTGCCCCAGCACCAAGGTAGTAGTTCCCCAGATCCTCCTTCCGGACTTGATTCTGTGATTCTGTGATTTCACCAACACATTGAATTCCATCTGCTGTTTTATTTTGCAGTCACTCCGTTTTGTAAGGTCCTTCTCCAGCCAGCCCTTGCCCTTGGTATACTGGCTATCACAGTATCATGTACACATGGTACCACCTCAGCTTCAGTTCCTTTTCAATGTCATATATGAGCACCTGAACAGCACAGGAGAAAACTCAAACTCCTCTGGGAAGCCACTGGTAACCTCCTTTATCCACTGTAAAAGTTGCCTATTTACAACCTTCTCCTTCCTAAATCTCAACAAATTATTTACAAATGTGACCATCTCCCCACATATCCGGTAGCTGCTTAGAATCCTTAAGAGCCTTTGTTGAGACTATTAAAGCTTTCAGGGAATCCAGACGAACTGTATCAACCCTTTATCCATGTTTGTTAACACCTTCAGAGAACTCCCATATGTTTGTAAGGCATGACTGCACTTTCCAAAAGCAGTGTTGACTCTTCACAAATACGTCATATTTGTTCATGCATCCACTTCCTTACAGTTTCTGCTAATTTGAACACGATGGATATCTGTTTCATCAGCCTGTGACTAGCCAGATCATGCTTGTAATCCATTTTAGAAACTGGCAACAACACATCAGCCGTTTCCAGTGTTCAGGTCTCAAGACAGCGTTAAGCAAGAAGCTACACACCATAGCTAGTAATTAGGCTTCTTTAAAAAAAAAAAAAATAAAAAAAAAATCCTTGAGTTGATTCAGAATTCTTGAATATTATCTGGTCTTGGCAGCTTGTCCATCTTAATTTCAGTCCACTTGTCCCATAACTTTCCCTGGCAACATTTCCACTTGCAGCAGCTCCTCTGATACATCTCCCATAAAGAAAGGTTTTGGTGTGGGAATCTCCTCAAGTTGTTCCACAGGGAATGCAGAAACAAATAACTTTTTAAAATGTGTGCTGTTGACTTACCTTCACTGAACACTCCTGATAGCCTACTGGCTTTATGGACTCTCTTGCAGGTTTCCTGTTCCTGGTATATTTGAGACTAGATTTACTATTATTCTTGATGCCTTCAGCAAAATTTTTCCTCAAAATCTTTGCTGGGCTGTCTTGAATTCTTTTACATTTATCCTGTCACAGTTTATAGTCCTTTCTGTTTTCTTCATTTGAATGAAAGTTAAGCTTTTTGAAGGGTGCTTTCTTGCTTTAATAATCTGTTTAATCCTGCTGTTTAGCCACGCCAGCATCGTCTTACCCTTTCTTAAGTCTTTCTTCACATGTGGTATGCATTTCTCGAGTGCCTCCAGTATGTCCCCAAAGAGTCTCCATGACATCTGCAAGGATTTAACTGCCTTAGCTAATCCTTCTAGGGTTTTTTCAGCAAGTATTCTCGTTTTTATGTCGTTTCCCATTTTGAAGCTCAGCTCAGCTATGGTGGTATTTATTTGGCTTTTGCTGTTCCTTCAAGGATGTTTTATGCAAGCACATCATGGCTGCTCTTAGAGAACAACTCTCCAACTGCAGCATTTTGAACTCAGTCCTGCGTGTTACTCAAAACCAAATCCAGGAGTTGTTTCTCTTCTGGCAGACTCCCTAGCCTGCCTGCCCTATGCATGCTACACCCACAAATCTAGTCTTGCATCATGCCACCACATGGCATCTACAGAGGGGAGGAGAGTTGAAATTTCCTTTACTTTTGCATGTTCTGTCCTTGTTTTGGTTCTGCCAAGGGTAATTCCGTTGAGTACATTCAAACGTCTCTGTGATCATTCTTGACAGACAACATATGGGAGGAGGGCAGGGAGAAAAGGAAGACAGTTACTTTTCAGAAAGTCCTGAAAGTGTATCTTAGTTGGGTTTCTGTGATGGGGTAAATAACATTTTTACAGGAGGGTAAACCTAGATCTCGGTATAAGCAGGTAAGTCCTGTGCCTGCTTATTAAGCATTCTTTGATAGAGGAAAATATAAAATTAAATGTAGGTCCTACAGCAAAACAAGAACATGAACTCATAAGTCTACCTCTGTAACAACTACCAACCCCCCTGATTTAGTAAACTATGAATCATAACATAATTCTCAGATAAGAGGACAGCTGTACTCAGACATGGTGTGTTGAGACCCCTCAATGAAGCATGTAAGGAATCTCATCACTTTTAGTTAAAAGAAAATTGGCACTTTTAGTGAAGGGAAAATTCCTACACTTACAGGGCACATTTCATAGTCTTGGAGCAGATACCATGGGCAAAATTTAAATTAATCTTTCCTACTTTTTTTTCCTTCTTTGTGAACAAAAAAAGGCCTCTTTATAAAAAAAAGGTGCCAGTCCCATCCCTAAGAGAATTACCTAAGGTAATTCCTACCGTAGTCGATGCCTGATTGCTGCATCAAACTGCAGAAACATCACTTCTCTGTGAGCAGCTAGCAGCTGGGCTATGTTGCTGGGATCCAGTGGATTCTGGAGGCTGTCAATCATTTTCTGTATCTCTTGAAGTTCAGTCCCTAGAGTCCCAAGAATAAAAAGTTTATCAGATAAGGTCTCAGGAAATGCACATAAAAATATCTCAGTTAGGTAAACTGTTTTTCCTCCAGGAGTTTTGTACTTCTTGACTTTCTTCATTTTTCCTCTTTCCTCCTGAAGGCAGATGAAGAATGCATTTACATACCCCCCAACACTAAAAAGCAGGCTTTCAGAAAAGACATTATGGCAGGTGGAGAATTATGAGGATGTAGTAAGGTGGCAGATGAAGAATGCATTTACATACCCCCCAACACTAAAAAGCAGGCTTTCAGAAAAGACATTATGGCAGGTGGAGAATTATGAGGATGTAGTAAGGTCAGGGAGGAAAAGGCATAGGAATGAAAAGTTACAAAAGTATCTCAAAAGAATGGTTCTTTTATTATCCTTTCCCATCAAAAAAATCAATTATAAAATACCAACAAGGACAGTGGTATATCTTTCTTGTTATCATATCTGGTTGGACTAGATGATCATTGTAGGTCCCCTCCAACCGAAAATGTTGAAATTAAATTTCTCAGGAGCAGAATCAGATCCTGAGATGGCATTTTACTTACTCCAAAGACCTAAACAAGTTATTACTTGGTAGAGAATGATAGGGACAACTTCTCCAACTGCTTTCAATAAAATCCTGCTGGGGCTCAATTCTGCAAGCTAATGAATATTTTTCTGCTGAGGCTGTAAAGGTTTTTTTTATTCCCTTTAAGCCTAGCAAAAAACTTCTCAAAGCAATGGGTCTCTACAAGTCATTACCCTTACAAGAGCACCTGCTCTTACTTGGTGTTTGCAGGAAATGCGTGCACAGTGCTTGACTGCCTCCCAAGACACAGCTACCCCAAAGTGATTTAACTTGAAAGCGTCTGTTATGGAAACCCAATGTTCTCTCTGTCAGGCTGCAGGAACTGCCATCATTTAAGGAAGTTAAATGTTCTGATTTTGGGGGAGAGGGAATTATTCCTCAGCAGCAGCAACAACAAAGATGGCTTGGTCAGGAGCAATGGAGTTAAATTGTCTGTACCAAATGTGTTACAGAGACAGCAGAGTTCCGGGGACTCCATTGTCTGTATTTTCTGGTTTAAAAGTGTGATAGCTAGGCACACATTAGATATATCTGAAATTGAAATACATTGCACATAATATTCCTCCTACATCTGGTCATGTGATTTCTCACTGATCACTGAGCTCAGTCTTCTTGATTGTTTCAAAGCTCATTAAACATGCTAATTTACATGAGCTTTCTCAGCCATATACAAATGAAGTTACTAATACGCACTTGATGGTACAATGAGTGCACACTGCAGAACAGGCAGTGCTTTTTGTTAGAGAAAATAAACCCACTTCAAAATCAAACATTCACAAGCACAGTATTAAAATAAAAGCTGTAACAGGTATTTATGATTCACTGAGCCCTTTCTTCCCTACCAAAATGAAATTTCAAGAAGATAAATTCAGAACTGATAATAAAAATCTTACTCAAATAAAAAGAAAAATACATAAGGGATAATGTGACAAACCTGGAGGCATTAAAAGACAAAGCTAGTCTTTTATATATTTTTCCCAATTCTTGAAGAATGTAATATTTTTACCCAATTGTCATAATCAATTTTTCATTTTTGGAAGACTCCAGGACAGAGGGGAAGCTGTGCAGGTGAAGTTGTTACTCCTGAGTTGCGTCTCAGTGGCGCCAAATGTACAGCTATATAAATGTGGGCATTTCTAGGTGGCATGAAAACAGCCCAGCCATGTAGCACACACCCCCACAGAGAAGGAGGTATGGATAACGTGCCATGTTTTGACACTCCGATTTTCTACACTGTGGGAATAATCCAGTGGCTGAAAAGCCAAATGCCAAGAGTACTTCAGGGACAGGATTATCTCATGTGACTTTAGTTGCCTAATTATCAGGCATCAAGTTTAATTGGGCTCCTGCAATCTTACCCCTCCAAAGAGGGTTTCATCCTGCTCACTTTGAATACATTTCAGCTTGGGATGAGCAACTCCTCTGAAGGTGTCTCTGCAACAGTGTCCAGGGAAGGTGTTCAGTGACAGCAGAAGTACTGAACTGGTGGTTAGAGACTAGTAGTTTCATACCTCACTGCTAATCACTAAAGGAAAGGTAGGTAAATCTCACTCCTGCAGTATAGTTTAACTTGAACAACAGGTCAAAGCTATTAGGGAAACTGGTACTATTTCTGCACAAATACATGTTTGTGCATGCACCTCAGCTGTTTCACCCTTTGGAAAGAGGATCAAGTGACAGATTTACTAGAGGAACCCAAGCCTGCCTTTTTTCATCTTCTGGTAAAGATAAAATCCTCATGGGCTGACCAGATGGCTTAACAGACACTTGCTAGAGCAGAAGAGCAATTTTTGGACCATGTTTTCTGTTCCCTGCCAGAGGAGACCTCCCAAGTCCGATAGGTATATTGCTTTTCTGTGAGACTGCAATAGATCTGTGATGCTGTGAGCATGCTTTGGAAATGTGACAGTCTTCCCTCAGTAAAATGGAGCAGGGAAAAAAAAAAAAAAAAAGAATGGAATTTGATCTAGACTTTATTCTTCAGTTGACATCAATCTCTTAGAATCATAGACTCATAAAATGGTTTGGGTTGGAAGGGACCTCAAAGATCATCTAGTTCCAACCCCCCTGCCATGTGCAGGGACACCCTCCACTAGACCAGGTTGCCCAAAGCCCCATCCACCGGGTCCGGGAACACTCCGGGGGGGGGGGCAGCCACAACTTCTCTGGGCAACCTGTGCCAGTGCCTCAACACTCTCACAGTGAAGAATTTTTTCCTAACATCTAATCTAAATCTACCCTCCTTCAGCTTAAACCCATTACCCCTTGTCCTATGACTACCCTCCCTGATAAACAGTCCCTCTCCAGCTTTCCTGTAGGCCCCTTCAGGTACTGTAAGGCTGCTATAAGGTCTTCCTGGAGCCTTCTCTTCTCCAGGCTGAACAACCTCTCTCAGCCTGTCCTCATAGGAGAGGTGCTCCAGCCCTCTGCTCATCTTCGTGGCCCTCCTCTGGACTCACTCCAACAGCTCCATGTCTTTCTTGTACTGGTCACCCCAGAGCTGGATGCAGTACTCCAAGTGGGGTCTCAGGGGAGTGGAGTAGAGGGGGAGAATCGCCTCCCTCGATTTGCTCCCATCTTCGTGTTCCTTTTGTCCCTTTCTCACCATCAGTATTTCACACTCTTTTGCACCTGGAACCATCTACCTTAAGCATGCAGTATTAGTTACTTACCAATCCTGTCGGTCCCTCCCCAGTCTGGAGTCAGAGGCTCTGGGTTTAAGGCACAAAAGCAGTTTGGGGAATTTCCTAACTGAGCAAAAGCCAGGAGATAAGAAACCATGTCGTGAAATGCACCAACAATTTCTAGGCTTAGGTGGAGACCTCTGAGAGCAGCCTGCAGACAATACAAATACACAAATAAAACCAGTCAGATAATAGCCCTAAGCAAACACACCAAAGCAGCAAATATTTTTGCTTCCTGGGCCACAACCACTCCTGGGCACCAAATGAGACCTCCTTGGGAGGGCAACGGGCATCTCAGAGCAAGGTCAAGCACTGGATTTCATTCTGGCTCAGGATATCACTCCCAGCTGTCACCATCCCATCTGGTGTCACAGCTTCTGTTTTAGAAACTGCTTCCACAGTCTCTCATACAACCCCTTTTTTCAGTGTTTATATCTATGCAAATAGACAGACGTGGCCGGGCAGCCTTTCCCTTGCAGTCCTCTCCCCCTGCACTGCACCATCTCCAGCTCTGGCACTGCCAGGGCCAGCCCAGGTACCTCCTTCTCCTCCTCTCCCCTCTCCTCCTTATTTCAGTAGATACAAGTCAGAGGACATAAAGGTCCCAGCCTGCCGCTTCTGCATACGGGGGGACAGGGACAATACTTGATAAACTGGTGGGATGGGGAATATTTTCACAAATAGGAAAAGGCAACACAGCATGGCTGGGGTTTGGTTTAATTACTTCTGATCTTTAACGATCTTTACAGATTTAACTAAAGGATCCTTCCTTTTCTTTTACTGTTGTTTCTACCTCTAAACCCAGAGGACTGAAGCTCTCCTTCCTGACAGGCACTCTTCATCAACACCCTCATCAGTGGCACATGCTAGCTGCATCCAGATTAAACCCACTGATATTTATTTCCCCATCACCAATGACAAGCAAAATTATAGCGCATGTGAAAAGATATATGTAGCTTAGTGCCTGGAAGAAAACTTCTTTTACCATTAGCAAATACTGACCTTCTCTGGAAGCGTTTTGAACATGATCAGCACTTCGGTAGGGTGAGGGATGAACCACAAGTTAAGGAAGGTGCATCCATCTGGAGACAGCAAAGAGTGTGGTCGAGGACGGAAGGATCTGAATTATAGCAAGAAGTGAGAGGTGTTTAGCATGTTGAGGCTTCTTTCTGCCTGTCATTCCCAGAAAGACATTTTTTTAAAAAGTTTGATAAAACTGCTACTTGCACATAGGATTTGCCTTTAAGCTTTGGAGCAAGTATATTTTAGACATAACATGATTTAGCTTTGATGTGTAGAATATGAGGTAAAGGTTTGACCTCCAAAACCTGCTGAATTTGAGTACGATTTGAAAGAAACTTTCTTAAAGCATCTGATTTATAAAGCAGGGACGTGAGCTGCTGTGCTGAGGATATTCAGGGTCTCTTCCACCACGAACATGCTTTTGCTGGCTAGAACAGGAGACAGGCAGGGCAAAGCAGCAGACAGGCATTAAAAATCTGTATAATTATTTTAAAATATGATGTGCAATTACTAGTAGGCAGCTCTTTTTTTTTTTTTTTGCCAGAAGATATGAAAATACATTTATTACATGAATAATGTATTTTCCTGTTTTTATATACAATGTGCCATTTCTTGTCTTCACATACATGAAGATGAAGTACAATATGCAGCTAGTACATTTTGAAATAAGAGATATAAATTCAGCTTGGAGATGGAGTTCAGCTCTTTCTCAAGTAAGTTTTGCAGGGTTTTTAATCTTTTTTTTTTCCCCTTTGTCTGAAGAAAATCAAAGCTGAATGCAAAAAAATAGACCTTTGATTTGGGTGGGATGGAGTAATGAAAGGTTAAATACTCATGTTGTGAGCACGGAAATTATATTTGGGCAGGGTTTGTTTAACCAGCTGTGCCCTACTAACTTTTGCACAAGAACGATAAGCACCAATTGTACCTAAGGAAACCAGACAAGTGACGCTTTTCAGGGTGAGATTAGTATTCACACTCTCCATTTCCTCTGCTTTACATCACAGCCCGTAAACGGTATCAGCAG